AGGAAATGAAATCACTATGCCAAGAGACATTTGTATTCCTATGTTTATTACAGTATTATTCACAATAACCAAGAAGTGGAAACAACCTAAGTATCTGTTGACAGATGAACGAGTAAGGGAAATATACATATTGATTATGGAATATAAGTCAGCCATAAAGGAAAAAAAAGAGCAAAAGCCTGTCATTTGCAATGCCATCAGAACTGGGGTGCACAATGTTAAGTGAAACAAATCAGGCATGGGAAGAAAAGCACTGCCTGTCACTCAGAAGTGGCCCAGGAAAACATCTCAGCCGGGTGGTGGTGGCTCACACCTTTAATCCCAGCACTCGGGAGGCATGGGCAGGCGGATCTCTCAGGGGAGATAGTTTAGTGAGGAAAACTATATGTCATGTAATATGAGGACCAGAGTTCAAATACCCAGAACCCATATAAAAAGCCAGACATGTAACAAGAGCATCTGTGTCCCTGGCACTTCTACAGGAAGTTAGGAAACAGAAGAATCCCTGGAAGCTTGCAGGCCAGCTAGCCTGCATACATAAAAACAAACAGCAAAAACAAAACCAGAAAGACAGCAGAGACCCTGTCTCAAAACAGGATGGAAGGCTGGGCTCTGAGGTCCTGGGTTTAGTCCCCAGTACCTACTTCTTAAGAAATGCTAATGAGATGGGTCAGTGGGTAAGGCCCCTGCCTCCGAGCCTGATGGCCTGAGTTTGAGACCCAGGACCCACATAATAGAAAGACAGAAGCAACTCCTACAAGCTGCCCCCCACCTCAAAACTATGTAAAACATATTTAAAACAAGATGGCAGGCGAGGACTGACATGTGAGGTTACTCTCTGACCTCCACTTGTGTGATATGGCACACGTGTGCACACACTGATCTCACTGTCGGTGTGGGTCAGTGGTAGAATGTGCACTTGGCTTGCATAAGGTCCTGGATTCAGTCCTTAGCACCAAGAAGTCAGTTTCACAGAAGGTGAGGGTAGGATGGTGGTGAACCAGGGGCTGGAGAAAAGAGGGTAAGGAGAAGATGGAGGGTCCCGGGTTCTAGGTAGGGGTAACATGTCCCGTGACTGAATAACTCTAGACAATACACTGCATCTTAAAAGGCTAGAAGAAAGGACTTTGATGTTTCATCATTAAAGAAATGAGATACATACTCTTGACTTGATTTAAATACTATAAATATGTGCAAGTTTCAATATATCTGTGGTACTCTATAGATATGAACATTTTTATGTTTTCATTATCAGTTAAAAATAGATTTTAACCAGGCGTTGGTGGCGCACGCCTTTATTCCCAGCCCTCAGGAGGCAGAGGCAGGCGGATCTCTGTGAGTCTGAGGCCAGCCTGGTCTACAGAGATAGTACCAGGATAGACTCCAAAGCTATACAGGGAAACCCTGTCTCGGAAAAAAAAAAAAGATTTAAAGGCCAGATGTGGTGGTGCATACCTTTAGCCCCATCATTTAAGAGGTAGAGGCAGGCAGATAGTCTGGTCTCCATAGCAAGTTCCAGGTCAGCCATGGCTGCATAGTGAGACCTGTCTGGGGAAAAAAAAGTTATGAGATTGGGGAATAGATTAGTCATTAAAGTGCATGGGAGGACCTGAGTTCATTCCCCAGAACCCCCAGAAGAAAGCCAAATGTGGTGGCATGTGCTTGTAACCACCCTGCCTGGGAGACAGATGGAGGTGGCTTAGCTTGCTGGCCAGCTGGCCTGCTCAGTGAGCTCCAGGGCAGTGTATAATGAAGCTGCGTTGACACGGACAGCTCCAATGATGGGTCCCTTAAGCCCCAACCTCTTCACAGGTAAATACAAACCTAGTGACTTAGTGCTGCAGCCGACACTCACTGAGAGCAACATGGGTCATAATCTCTTTCACCAATCTCCTAAGTATCTACTTATTCCAAGACCAAATGTTAAATAGCCATGTTTCAAACGCTAATGACCTTGGTAAAACTGAGTGAGAGATCAAAGGCTCAGTCTGAGGCCTGTTCATAATTTTACCAACTTAACTGCCCAATTTTTCATAAATTTGCCCTTGTTTACAAAAAAAATAATTCCTTCTTCAATTTGAAACATGGGAAGATTCATTATTAATGTTTTTTATTTGTGTTTGGGAGTGTAGGTACACATCTGCATACAGAAAGAAGTGCACACACAGAGGCCAGAGAGGGTGCTGAGTGTCCTCTGTCTCTGTCCCTGAAGCTGAGGATCACCTCAGCTAAGCTTGCAGCGGTGACCCTGGCAATCCAGAGACAATGCTGCGGGCGTGTGCTGGGAACCTAGCTATTGTGTGGGTGCTGGGATTCAAACCCCTGGTGTAACTGAGTTCTAATTGGTCATAATAAAAACCCAGAATTAGGCATAGGGGTTAATTCTGAAAGGTCAGAGAAGCAGAGCAGCCAGCCACTAGTTCTTACCTCTTCAGACCAAAGGGGCAATCCTGTCCCTGCTAATCCTCATTGGAATGCAGTGAGCTCATCTCCTCCTGCTTTATATTCCTCTCTCTGCCCAGCCATCTCCACCTCCCTAGGACTGGGACTAAAGGTGTGGGAACCCAAGTGCTGGGATCATCCTTGTGTGAGCTCTGTTTCTCTTTTAGACTGGATCAATCTTGTGTAGCCTAGGGTGGCCTTGAACTCACAGAGATGCGCCTGCCTCTGGTCCCCGAGTGCTGGGATTAAAGGAGTGCGCCACCCCTGCCTGGCCGCTATAGCTGACTAGTGGTTCTGCTCTGCACAAACAAAATATCATCATACCATGCTCTTCTGATTGCCCAGCAAGTGCACTTAACCATTGAGCCGTCTCTCTGTTTACTGTTTGTTTATTTTGAGAGAGGGTCTTCTGTCCCACAGACTGGCTGTGTAGCTAAGGGTGTAGCTAAGCGTGATACTGAATTTGTAATCGTGGGATTACAGACATGCACCACCATGCTGGGTTTTACAATGCTACCTGTGGGCTGTGTATGCGCTAGGCAAGCATTGTACCAACCAAGCTGTGTTCTCAGCCCCATATTCTTCCCCTGTTTAAAGTTGCTTTCTTCCACTAGATGAAAACGTGACAGAATTTCTAAGCTCCTTATCTTGTCCAAATACAAGTTTGAGGGCGGGATTCTAATAGTTGGGAAAACTGCTTTTCCCTGGTGGAAGCGTTTCATCCAACAGGCCCCTCTGGCCCGCTCTCTGTGCCCATTTCTCCAGGGCAGTACTGTCAGTATGGAGTTAGTGCAGTAGTTTAGCAACAACAAGGTCAGTTTTCAAAGTCAACTTCCGAACATTCTTGGCAGGCAGCCCATGACTCTCCCTGTAAGGAGGCTTGTTGACACTCCTTTCTGCCACTTTAGGTCAGGGCTGGAAAGTGCCATCATAGTCCCCTAACAGGCTCCTGTGAGTTAAACCCAGAAAGTATTAATAGGAAAAAGATATTTACAAAATATTACTGGCATTGATATTTTAAATATTATGCTCAGAAGCGCTACACACTCACAACCTGAAAATGCGTAGAAGCCTTTTGACTTGGAAAATGTATATACCTTATTAATGAAGGGTGATAAATAAAGTCACTAGTAGTGGAAAATTGTAGGAAGGAAAGCAGTTACAGACGTAGGTCGACTCCGTAAGGCTGAATGTGTATGTCAGCTCTTTGTCTTCACCACCATAGAATCCCCCAGAAGTGCTTGCTTTAATTGGATGGAGAAACTGCAAGAAGTCAGCCGATGGTTCTCAGTTGCCTTCACTCAGTGTCAAGGTAGATTCTTGGGGTAGGATGTTCTGATCTCCTTTAATATTTAGAGAGCAGAGTGTGCAGATAAAAGTCTTAGCCCCACAATTCTGCTCTTAACAGACAAAGGGCCTTAGGCATGTCACTTGACATACCTGGAGCCTTAATTTCTTTTTCTAGAAAGCAAGGCAGCTAGAGCGTCTAAGCTCTAAGCATTTACACTACTTTAGTTACTCCGTAACTGCTCTTGAGGACAGAAAAGACTGACACCGTTAGATACCTGTATTTGCCCATCTCTTCCAAGATGGTTTAGAGTTAGGGCTTATCAGGACCTGTGAAATTTCTGCCACATACTTCAAAAACCTTTTTGTGATACTTATCTAACCTAAGATTGGCTCACTAATCCAAATGTGCTGGAAGGAGATCTGTGAGGAAGGTCTTCCAGCATAGAGAAGGACCTGGGAAATGTCTGTTGCTCTTTCAAGATCTGGTCATTTTTCAGATATTAGCTAATAAAGTGTGAGTCGATTACAATTTCTTTTTAGCAGGAGTCATAGTTGGCCCAGGCTAACTTGGGACAAATCACAATTCTTTCTCATGTGAGGTGGAGACAGCAGTAACTGTGACATTGGCCACACTGGGAGTTCAAGGTCTGACTGTGCCATTTAAAAATTTTCAGATGGAGGTTACCCTGCCTGCCCTCAGTCCGTTCACAAAGTAGCGATACCTAAGCATTTACCTTCAGCATGTGCCTGCGTCACCAGAGCTGCCAGACAGACCCTCTCAGAGTGAGACACGTGCAGCTGTCACTGTTTACACTTGCTTTCATTGAGGGCACTGTGGATTTGCCTTGCGTGGTAAAACACCCCGAGTCTGCTTCACTGCACGGGGCTCGGGCCTCTGGAGCTTGCCCATGCCCGGTGAAGAGCCGTAGCCCTTACTTTCTGTTCTATCTCTGAAGAGACACCACAACCAAGGCACCTTACAGAAGAAAGCATTTGATTTTGGGGCTCGATTACAGTTTTAGAGCGTTAGTCCATGGTGGTCATGGCAGGAAGCAACCAGGCATGGGATTGGTCTTGGCAGGGCTTTTGACCTCACAGCCCATCCCCAGTGACACACCTCCTCCAACAAGGCCACACCCCCAGCCCTTTCTGAACAGTTCATCGACTGGGGACTAAGATGTAAACCTGAGCCTGTGGAGGCCATTGTCTTTCACATCGCTGCAGCTGTCTTTCGGGTTTCTTCTGAAGCATCTTTTTATGTTTTACAGGAGTCTGAATTTCTGTGTCTGGAGTTTGATGAGGTTAAGGTCAAGCAAACCCTGAAGAGACTGTCCGAGGTGGAAGAGAGCATCAACTCGCTGATGCAAGCAGCCTGACTGAGGCGCGACAGGACGGGGGTGAAATGAAGCTGTGAACCTCGCCACTGACCCTGAAACTCCTGTTTCCCCATTGGTGTCACCAAAAGACATTGCACACAAGTGTGAAAGCCTCAGTGAATAAAAAATACATTTTAAAAGGTGACTAAAAGAAAGAAAACGGCTCCAGTTCAAACCCTCCTGTCTGCGCTTGCAGGCTTCTTTGACGCGCATGTCTGTTCTGTTGGAGAGGCTCGCATAGTTTAGCGTGCATAGGGTTATGAGGGGCGCTCACAAAAAGCACTGAAATTAAAAAGGAAGCTGCCGGGGTACAGCTCCATGGTAAAGCACTCGTTTAGCATGAGAGGAGGTTGCACAGGGTTTTAGGGCCTCACCTCAGAGCCTCGCTTGGGCCTAGTGAGGTTCTGGGACTGGGTGATGTAGTTGAGTGGGTGCTCTGTAAATCTAGAGGTTGGGTTTGATCTGAGCAGGGATATGCACTTTTCTAAAATTACATTTACATTCTGTGTGTGGGGGAGAGGGGGCATATGTGCCACAGCTTACCATGGAGGACTGAGGACAAGCAGATTTAATTTTCCCCTTCTGTAACGTGGGGTCTAGGGCTTGAACTCTGCTCATCAGGAATGGCAGTAAGCCCCTATCTCACAGGGCAGGCACACACAGGCACACACGCATGAACACACGCCTGTGCACACACACACAGGAGAAAGACACCCTAGGTTCACCTCTGGCCTCCACATGTATGTGCATACATGTGCACACGTACCAGAACTCAGATGTATCCATGGACATGCAAACATGCCTGTATACACAGAGAAAGAGAGGAACTGTTATGATGAAGTGAAGGGTGTTAATGGACTTTCCGTAACTGAGGCAGAATGCTTGGAGCGATCACCAGGGTTGTTTTGGTCTCGGTTTTGGAGGTTTCAGCCCATGGTCACTTGGCTTCCTTATTTGAGGCCTGCGTTGAGGCAGAGAATCATGGCAAAAAGCATGTGATGAAGTGCAGCCACGCCCTTCCTGCAGCCAGGAAGTGTGGGCAGATGGGAAGAAGCAGGTCTCCTCAAGGGCGTGTCCCTGATCCCTCCCACGGCTCCTACCTCCTGACTCTTCTTTCTCCCAGAAGCAACTCAGGCGGATGACCAAACCTTCAACTCATGACCTCCTGGGGAAGTCAGGAACACACCGCAAGCAGTTTCCAAACACCAAGACTGTCCCAACAGTAGGAACTTTAGTCCTTGTTGAACATGTTTGTCATCTGATACTGACACTTGGAGATCTTAGTTGCTTTGGGTTATGCATTTAAAATGCTGTTCTCTTGGCCTGTGGTAACAGCATTGCAGCTGACTGAGACTACCCCAGGTCTTCTGTTGGGAGAACAGCTTGTGATACCCTCCGAAAGGACTGGTTTCTTCCTTATTGAAAGGGAGAAGTTAGGAAACAATGACCAGAGGCTTTGCATGTACTCCCCACCTTCCCCAGAGCCCTGCAGAAAATATCTTGAAATGGTACTTAGAGTAGATCCAGAAAAAGTATGTGGTTTGCAACAAAAAAGCTATAAAAGCATCTTCTTTTCCCAGAGCACCCCCACGTAACCTAGAGTTCAGGTGATGTGTCCTGCTGGAAGATGGAGGGGAAGCGTATTTGGTGAGATGATGGGACTGCAGATGGCCGTGCAAGGACGGGCGGTGGCTGCCCCATAGTGTTGACTCGAAGGCCGTGAAGGGCTGTGCCCGGGAGAGAGAACAGCTGTGGCCGAGGCGCTGTGAGGCCGCGTTGCGCAAGCAATAGTTACACAAGTAGCATGGGCCTTTTAGAATGAATTCTCCACACCCTGGCAGAAACACTGCCAACGTATATGGAGTTTCCTAAAATATTTTAGAAAACAAAGCTGGTCCCTGAAGATGGTCTCCACATTTCATATTACACACTTCTGAATAAAAGTTGTTTTGGACAAGGTATATTTTATACTTACTGATTTTTTAAAAAAAATTTATTAAAGTCAAGGAGTAATAAACACTATTTATTATAAAAATATAGAAACGTACTAAGAAAAACAGTTAAATGACCTATCAACCAAACATACAAAGGCAGCCAGAAGAATCCGAGAAGCAGTGTGACTTTTTTTTTTTCCCTGTGTTTTTAGGAGCAGAGTGTGTGGTCTTAGGGCTTGTGAAAGCATGGCTAGAAGGCTTTTCCCAAGCACAGCCTGCCACTTCTCCTGGACAGTGCAAAGGCCCCTCCCTCCTGGATGACTGCACAGTATCCTTTCTGTGTGTTTTCTAGAATGGTTGTTTTTGTAAAGTTTTGTAGGGGACACTCTCTCAATGAGGGACAGGCCACAGACACTAGCAGGAAGGTCTCAGCCCCGTAGGTTCTCTACACCTGGAATCCTAGAACTGCCTTGAGGTAAGGAACCAGGGGATACAATAAAAATGGCTGTCAGCCTGAGCAAGGCCTCATGGGAGTCGTGCCTGCTTTGGTGGTGAGCATCCTAGCAACCCAGCCAAACCAAAAGCTAGTTTTCAAGTCAGGAGGGTTGCTATCCAGGCTTTGGTAGCATCACATCAGAGAGTGAAGGCTTTGGCCTTACCCTCAGGTCTGGCTGTTCTTGGATGCTCTGGCTCGTATCAGCTAAGGACCAAATACCACCACTGTAGCCTTTCCTTTATGCAATCTCTCTCCAAAGAGTCCCTGCATTTTAAAACACTGAAGCTTAATGATTCTCCCCAAATGCAAGACAGCAGGAGAGCGAAGGCTGACGTGAGCACCTGCATTCTCAAATAGCTGACATCGTGTCAAGCTCTTCATCATTGAAGTTCTTTCTTTAGAACTGGCTGAAACTCTGGAGAACAGAATACAAATAGAAACGAAAGGAGAATGACTATTGACAGATAGAAACTGTCTTGTGGCATGCTCAGTTAATACCTAGACCAGGGGCAAATATTCAGACAGAACCCTTGGGTCAGCTGAGCGATTGTCAGACACCTGCCTTAACCCTTAGCTTCCCACCTCTACAGATAAGATGTTTTACGGGGACTTTGCCACAGTAGTGTGAACCCAGACAGAGCCCAGCTAGCATACTCTAGACTCTAGTTGACCCCCAAATTGGAAAAATAACAATTTTCATCTGAGTTTGATTGGTTCCCCCTCATATGGAGGTGGCTATTACTGGCTCTCATAGCATCACAGCTGAAACTCCAAGCTAGCCTTTGTTGCAAAGGAACCACCATAGTCTGCTTCCTGTATGATAAGATGCCAATTGACATCGCTTACAAGCTCAGTACAGCAGTAGCAGAATAAATTACAAAGCTGTACATGAGCAGATGATTAAATATGAAAATTAATAACATTTTTTCACCAAGGACTATAATTAGGTCTTGATGTTCTTTCTCTCCTCACCTGCTTGGAACTGGTTTTCTGTTTCCTGTGGGTATTAGGGCCTCAAATTCTGTTGATTTACAAGATGTAGGTGGGGAGGCCTGGAGGAGGGTAAGTTTGATTGATTGCTCAGACAGAATGGAGCGAAACTGAGCTACAAAGATAATGAGGGCAGTTAAAAAAAACTGAACTTTTAAAATGCCACTTTACTGTTTTGGTTTGGTTTTTTTGAGACAGGGTTTCTTTGTGTAGCCCTGGCTGTCCTGGAACCCTCTTTGTACACCAAACTGGCCTCAAACTCAGAGATCCCCCTGCCTTTGCCTCCCAAGCAGTGGGATTAACAGTGCGCCACCACCAACTGGCAGCTGTTTTTTATATTAAAGAAATGTGAAAGTTTTATATTACTTATATTCTATCCAGAACCATGGCTATGAATTGGCACAGATCTCAGAATGACAGATGTTGAAACAGGCAGAAGCTATTTCAGCATCTTGTCAAAAATAAGAAAACATCTGGGTAGATTGGCAGCAAATGTGTACAAGGGCGTGGTCGGGACAGCCCAGAAGACATCTCAGGGCTGCTGCCTGCCATCTCTGTTCTGCCCGTCAGAGCTATCACAAAAGCATATGGTTATAAGATAGGTAGGTAGATAGATAGATAGATAGATAGATAGATAGATAGATAGATAGATAGATCTGTGTCTAGATGTGCTTGCAAAGAGGGTGTTGGCTGACACAGGAGGCCCTGGCATGGGCCGCTGTCATTTGCATTCTGTGTCCATATCAGGTCTGTCTGTACTTGAGGCTGCTACTGGTCTTTATACAGCCGGGTTCTATTTATGACGCTCTCATTCTCACTTCCTGCTCGGTGCCCCCATTTCTGAGGTCACTGCACAACATGAGTGGGCCTTCCTGGCTGCCCACTGTACCCAGCAGGTGACTGTCCTCATCCTTCCTAGGCAACCAGGCTTCCTGGACACGGTTTAACTCTCAGCTGCTAACTCTCAGCTGCTAGCAGCACCCCTTGGGGGCCCCGAGCATCTGTGCTCTTATTTCGCAGCAAGGCCTGCCTGCACTGCAGTGGAAAAGGGATCGAGTTTTCTGGAACTTCGATTTGCACATGCTCCTGAAGCAAGCGAGACAGGGTTTCTCTGTATTGTTTTGGAGGCTGTTGGTCCAGCCTGGCCTCGAACTCACAGAGATTCGCCTGCCTCTGCCTCCCGAGTGCTGGGATTAAAGGCGTGTGCCACCACCGCCCGGCTATTTATTTTTTATAACATTTATTTTTATTTTTTGTGCGTTGGTATTTTGCTTGCTGTGTGAGGCTGTTGGGTTACCTGGAACTAGAGTTGTGAGCTGCCATGTGGATGCTGGGAATTGAACCTGGGTCCTCTGGAAGAGCAAACAGTACTCTTAACCACTGAGCTGTCTCTCCAGTCCCAGGATTTAAATTTTAAGTCAACACAAGATTGTATGGAACAAAAAGTAAATTTCCTTTTTCCTCCTTTATAAACAAACAAACAAACAAACAAACAAAAAAGCGTGGAGGGAGGTGAGGGGAGCTGGAGTGATGGCTCGGAGACTAAGAGCACTTGATGCTCTTCCAGAGGACGAAAGTTCCATTCCCAGTTCCCACATGGCAGCTCACAACTGTCTGTAACAGCAGTTCCAGGGGATCCAACACCCTCTTCCCACCTCAGTAGGCACCAGGCACGTACATGACACACATATACACCTGCAGTCACATACATACACATAAAAACGA